GTGAAGTGAGCAGAACCAAGAGAACTTTGTACACAATAACAGCCACATTATGCGATGATTAATATTGATAAACTTAACCCTTCTCAGCAATACAAGGATCTAAGACATCTCCAGAGGCCTCGTGATGGAAAATGCCGTCCACATCCAAAGAAAGAACTATGGAAGTTGAATCGCTATCTTTTTTTTTTTCTCTTCTGTTGAGTTTTGTCTCATCTTTCTGATGGTTCCTCCTATTGGTTTTAATTTTTACTTACAACTTCACTAATATGAAAATATGTTTAATAGGAATGTAAATGTATAGCCTATATCAGATTGTGTGCTGTCTTGGGGAGGGTGGTGGGGGAGGAAGAGGGAGAAAAATTTTAAACTCAAAAGCATATGGAAGTGATTATTGATAAATCAAAATAAATTAATAAAATAATTTAAAAAAACCCCAACAACAACGACAAAAAAGAAGGTGCTGTGCTCTATGAGCAAAGCAGAATTGAAGTAACTCAAAAGAAATGCAAGATGTGAAAATTTAGAGAATCCACCCCAAAGGTTCACACGTAGTATGTGTGCCCAGCCTGTGGTAGAGCCTTCCAAGCTCTATTGGTCTGATCAGCCACAGTCAAACACACCGTACCTTGACTCTAACATAGTGACGTCATGTTGGCCCTCTTTGAGAACGAGGGATAAAAACCAGCTGCAGCTCACAGAGATCAGTTTCTACTTGAGTTTAACATCATGGCCTATATCACTGGATTAGGAAGGTCTGCGTTCAAATCCTGCCTTAGACAACTGTTTTGTGACCTTTGGCAAGTCACTTAACTGTTCTATGCCTCAATTTCCTCAACTGTAAAATCAAGTGATCATAATGACATGTACCTCCTAAGATTGTTGCAAGGATCAAATGAAATAAAATTTGTAAAGTGCTTAGCACAGTGCCTGGCACATAGTAGGTATTTTATGCTTCTTTCTTCCTCCCTCTCTTCTTCCCTCCCTCCCTTCCTTCCTCCAAAGTCTCTTTTAGATCTAAATCTATGGTCTTATGAATAATTTCTATTTACAGACCATGCAAAAGCTAAAAATCCAACAGCAAAAGCATTTAAAACATAAACATAAGTACTAAGAGGAAATAAAGTAGTAGAATCATTTTCTGTTCCCATTTCTCCTAAAGGGAAAATACAGTGAATAGTGGTGGATAAAGTATCCCTCAGTACCCACTAGACTACAAGAAATCCATTCCCCCAAACACCAGATAAAAGGTTCTAAGAACAGAAACTCCTACTCAGCAAAGCACATCTAACAACACCAGTCAATCAATAAACATGTATTAAGCACCTACTGTGTGCCAGGCACTGTGCTAAGCACTAGGATACAAAAAGAGGCAAAAGATAGTCCCTGCCATCAAGGAGCTCACAAACTAATGGGACTTTGTTTACAGAGCCTCTTGGGGGACACTCCCCCCCACTATTTCCCTCACCCTTTCTGTTACTTCTTCCTCTGCAGTTTCCCTCTCTTTTTCTTTCATACCTCCTGACACTGTCCAAGTCCATGAGACTGTGATGTCTGGCAGCTCCCTCTGATAACCAGTAGCTGCCCTGCCTGGCCATGGTGGATGCCCGAAGCCAGGCTGGAGTCCTCCACTGAGGTCCATGACATCCTTCTATTGCATATGAAGAAAACGGAGGTGAATGTGAAGAGGAGGTCTAGGTGAGGCTCTAGGAGAAATGTGAAGAGGGGTCAGGTCACTTGTATTGTCTGACGGAGTTAGCGGCAGCGGTGGAGGTTGGGGTGAGGGGGAAACACAGTAAATTGACATCTGACTTGAGCCTTAAAGGAAGGATTCTTGCTGCTCAGACCTGTTCAACTCTCTGTGACCTCCTTTGGGGTTTTCTTGGCAAAGACACTGGAGTGATTCACCATTTCCTTCTCCAGCTCATTTTCCAGATGAGGAAATGAGGCAAACAGGGTGAAGTGACTTGCCCAGAGTCACACAGCTAGGCTAGTAAGTATCTGAGGCAGATTTGAGCTCAGGAAGAATGAGTCCAAGCCAGGCGCTCTGTGCACCATGGCGCCACCTAGCTGCCCTTGAAGGAAGGGAGGGGTTTTAACAGACTGAGGGAGTGGAAGAAATCCCAAGGCAAACAGCTTCTGCCCTCACATGGCTTACATTCTACCGGAGGTTCCTCCTGTATACAACCAGGTCAATATAATGGCGGTTATAAAGTAATACAAAAGATTTAGAAGAAGTTGGGCTAGAGTCCTAAGCATGGGGGAGTCAGGGGAGATCTGGGGCAGGAGCAGAGCTTCAGAGGGAATGATGAAGGCAGAGAGAAGCAGGTGAGGAGGTCTGCATTCCAGACTTGTGCAGAGGCATGCAAGGGGTGGGTGATGGCACAGCCATGTTGTACAGTCATCTCCTAGCAGACCAGGTTTGACTGGAATGGAGAGTTTAAGAAGGGAGGTAACATTGTAACGATATTGCACATCTATGTGGCACTTCACAAGTATTTCATTTGATCTTTGTAACAACCTGGAAGTAGGTGCTATTATTGGCCCCATTTTACATTTGAAAATACTGAGACAAACAGAGGTCAAGTGACTTGCCCAGGGTCACACAGCTAGGAAGTGCCTGAGGGTAGATTCTGACTCAGGTCTTCTGGTCTCTAACCACTGTTCTACCTGGCTTATTGTTGAGTCATTTTTCAGTCGTGTTCTAATCTTCATGACTCCAGTTGGGGCTTTCTTAGCAGAGATACTGGAGTGGTTTGCCATTTTCTTCTCCAGCTCATTTTCCAGATGAGGAATTGAGGCAAACAGGATTAAATGACTTCCTCGGGGTCTAATAAGCATCCGAGGCTGAATTTGAACTCAGGTCTTCCTGACTCCAGGCTCGGCATTCTAACCACTGTTCTACCTAGCTTCCCACATGAAATAAGACTGGAAGGACAGGTGGGAGCTAGGTGGATGACTATAAATGAGATGTTTATAATTTATCCTATGAGCACTGGGGAGCCACTGAAGATTGAGCAGGGAGGGAGCTTCAAAATCCAGCCCTCCTGACATTGTCTAGCTCCTTCCAGCCCTCCCGAAGCCTCTCTGACTTACAGATTCTGTCATATTGTTGTTCCCTGCCTGCTGTCCTGGCCCTGGGTCTGGTGACCAGTCTTTCTATACCCTAGAGCGTCACCTAGGAAGTGGGCACAGAGAAGTTTCTTAGAATCTGGTTCCATGCTGGTCTGATCAGCCTGGTGTTTTCACACTAGTTGGGTTTGGTATCAGACGCTTTCACCCACCTCCTGATGTCCAGAGAGGCATTGGCTACTCGCTTTTGCCAAGCTGAACAAAAGACGGCTTTTTTTTTTGTCCCTGTCTGAGAGATCATGTGCATAGGGGTGTCTGGGATTTATAAAAAAACAACTTGGTTGCCTTTAACTACAAATCAGCTTTAGGACCCTGGGAATTTCTGAATTGGCCAATTGCCCCAAGGCTTGAAGGGTGACTCAAGCCCGGGTGGGGTCTCTGTTGACCTTAGTTTCTTTATGGTGGGTGGAGAACTTTAAATATCACTGACTTTTTTTTTTTAGGCCAGAGCTGGATCCTTCGTCAGAAAGGGAGTCTTGTCACTGTAAATGTCTTCTGGATACACCCAATGAATACCTGAAGTGGGAATTTAGTTCTATAATCCCACAACTATTGAATGCCAGGCCCAGCAGAGCTTGGCCCTGTGGATGGACAGTCAGGCATTAGAGTAAAAAAGGAAGGAAATAAGCATTTATGAAGTGCCTACTATGTGCCAGGTATTGTGCAAATGTCTCATTAAGGGCAACTCACAACCCTGGGAGATAGGCGCTTTTATTATCCCTGATTTACACTTGAGGAAACTGAGGCAAACAGAGGTTTAAGTGACTTGCCCAGGATTATACAGCAAATGTCTGAGTCAGGATTAGAACTCAGGTCTTCTTGACTCCAGGTCCAGTGCTCTATTTATTATGTCACCTTATTGCCACTTACCAAGTCCAAGCTAATCATTTTACAAATAAGGAAACTGAAGCACAGAGAGGTTAAGTGACTTGCCCAAAGTCACACAGCTAGTAAGTGTCTGAATTGGGACTTGAACCCAGGTGTGAGGTGAGGGTGCTAGATGGAGAGAGTGGCCAGTTCATCGGGTTCTTGGCCTGGATCTTTGTCCTGGAGTGATGCTGGTGGCAGGTACTGCTGGGCCTGGTCTGGGTCATGTCTTGAGGATCCCTCCCTCCCCTCAAAGATATGGTGCATACCAGTCAGGGAGCAACCCATGATTGACAGAAGATCCTGCTGAACTTGCCTGCGAACATGGTGCTTGGCAGGACTCAGGGTGGTGAGTGCTTACTGGGCAACCTGACCTCCCTGGGCCAGGTATCACCTCCGTCTCAGTCTCCATGGCAACTGACTCTGGCTCTCTACTGCTTGTCTGATGGACTGAAAGAGAACCTCAGTCTGTGACCTGAGCCCAGACAGGCTTGCAGCTCCAAGCCACAGCTGAGTCCATCTCAGGTCCTGACCCTGAGGAGCTGAGATGGGGCAGGAAGAACAGCCTCACTGGAGGCCGAGGACACACACACAAGGGACCACGTGACCCAGAATTCACCATGTAGGTCCCTTTGTTTTTAGAAGCTGAGGAAGAAAGGGCCTTTGGGGCCTGCAGGAATGGGTCTGCTTCCAGGAGGTGGGCCTTGAAGGCAAGAAGAGAGGAGAGACAGAGATGGGATTTTAGCTAAAGGCCCCAGGGCAACATCAGGACCTAAAAACAGGCAAATGAGAAGGACTGAAGAAAATTACTTGAACGGTTTTCCTAAAAGAAGAGAAACCATTTTGTCAAGGGGAGTGAAAAGGGGATGGAGAAGAGGGGTACAAAGGTGAGCAGGTTTCTCCCTGGACCAAAGTCTTAAGGCCCTGAGCAGGGGCCATCACGGAGTGAGCTGTTCTCTGCCTCTAAGCAGGGACTTTTGGGGAGCTGTGGAAGAAGACCTGCCTTAGGACACAAAGGCCAGGTGCCAACCATCCTGCTTCTGGAAGCTCTGAGGACAGAATGCCAAGCCGTCCAGGAGGCCTGAAATAATCCAGAGACTTTTGAATGGTTTTCTCAGAACTCTTAGAGCTATCCCCAGTGAGAATGGGCTTTCATGGAAAGTAGGGGGCATAATCAATTAGTAAATATTTGTTCACTAACTGATTGACCTTACTGGTGGTCTTCCAGCAAAGCCTGGATAACCATTTGTTGGGAATATTATGGTAGAGAATATCACTTTTAGGCACAGAAAATACACTAGGGGCAGCTAGGTGACGCAGTGGATAGAGCACCTGCCCTAGAGTCAGGAGGACCTGAGTCAAAAGTGACCTCAGACACATACTAGCTATGTGACCCTGGGCAAGTCACTTAACCCTGACTGCCTCCAAAAATAAAAAAATTAAAAAGACTCTACATACTTCTGAAGTGCCTACTAACTTTGAAAAGCTCTGTAATTTTGTGACTCTTACATTAAATAAGTAAATAAAATATTGTTATTTTTACATTTAAATATGGCATTAAGGTGCTGAAGATTACAAAGCTAAAATCCCTGCCTTCAAGGGGCTCACAGTCTAAAGGGAGGCCGCGTGTCTACATGTCGAAGCAGATACTTACCTTCTACAAAATGAACACAAAGAGGTTTGGGGAAAGGAAGGCTGCCCCGGGGGGGGGGGGGGATCAGCAAAGACTTCACTGGAGCTGAGTTTGGAAGGAAACCAAGAATTCTGAAAGGTAGAGGTGAGGAGGGAGAGCTTCCAGGCCTTAGGGAGGATCAGGCAGAAGCCAGGGGTAGGAGGGGGTGCATCGTGTCCAGCACACTTTCCACGTACCAAGCAGAGGTAGGGGCTTGTTTGCCTTTCCTGCCTCCGTTGTCCCCAGCAGAGGAAGTACTTTGCTTATTGTTTGTAAGTTCGTTGTTTTGTTTTTTCTACTTTTATCTCTAGTACCAAGCACAATGCAGCTACTTAAAAAAGCCCCCCAAGATTCCTTCCCAAGCTCTTTGTGTTCCCAGCTTGGGGCCAGGGGACAGATGTGCCATCCCCCTCCATTATTTTCCCCTCACTGGCCATGGAATGAAAAATCCTCCTACAAACCGAGTTCTTTCACCGAGCCCTGATCAGATGCCTCATTTTTGTGAGAAGGTAATCCTGAGTACGTGAAAACCTCAAACTCTAATGGGTGTTTCCTCAAGCTGGAAGGGCTCCCAACATGGCCCCGGTGACATACTGTGTGTCTGCTGATGCCCCCAGTTGCTAATTTGCTTCTTCTCCAAACTACCTTGGATTTGTTTTGTAATTACACTTATGTTCATATTCTTTCCCTTACAGGACATAAACCCCCTGAAGGTAAGGATGACTTTATTTTTAACTTTGAATTCCAATGCCCAGTACAATGCTTGGCACATAGCAAGTAGGCACTTAATAAATGCTTGTGGATTGACTGAGGACCAGCTTGAACTCACCACCAGAGAGTACACTACCTAGTAATGAGCTTTTTGGGCTCCAGTAAGTCATGAAACTGCCTACTAATTAACTGATCGATCAATAAGCATTTCTTTTTTTTAAAATTAATTTATTTTGATTTATCAACAATCACTTCCATATGCTTTTGAGTTTAAAAATTTTCTCCCCCTTCCTCTTCCTCACCCTCCCCAAGACAGCGCACAATCTGATATAGGCTACACATATACATTCCTATTAAACATATTTTCACATTAGTGATGTTGTAAGGAAGAATTAGAACCAATAGGAGGAAGCACCAGAAAGAGGAAACAAAACTCAACAGAAGAGGAAAAAAAATAGATAAATAAGCATTTCTTAATCATCTGTTCTGAGGCATGGGAGATACAAAGAAAAAATTACATTCTAGTTGGGGAGACGATATATATACATACATACATACACATGTATGTATATCTATGTATATATAAGTACAAAATTGATACACGGTGATTTGAGGGGAACCTCTGATAGCTGGAGGTGCCAAGAAAGGCCTCGTGGAAGGTGAGTCTGGAAGAAAACCAGGGATTCTGAGACATGAGGTGAGGAGGGAATTTATTCCCAGCATGGGAGACCATCAGGGCAAAGGCATGGAGGCAAGATAAGTTACGTGTATAAGGAACGGCCAGGAGGTTAGTTTGGCTGTACCTCGATATGGGTGGAGGGTAATCACGTGCAGTAAGGATAGAAAGGTATGTTGGGGCCCTCTTTTGCCAAACAGATCGGCTTATGTCTGATCCTAGAGGTAAAAAAATGCTATTGGAGTAGGACCATGACATGATCAGAGCTGCACTTAGGAACATCACTTTGATGGCTATGTGAAGCTTGTATTGTGGTGGGAGGGAGGAAATATGTGGCAGGCAGATCAATGGAGAGACCAGTACAGTAGCCTCAGCAGGAGGTGCTGAGAACCTGAACCAGGGTGGGAGGAGCATGAGAAGTGAGGATGCTGTTGAGATAGAATCAACAAGGCTATGGGGGGTGAAGGTGAAGCATTGACAATGAGCTCAACATCATTAACCTAAGAGAATGGAAGAGCAATGAAATCCCCAATAGGAATAGGGACATTCAGGAGGTTGGCACTGAACACAGAAATGCTATGACCTACCTTGGTGAAGAGAGCACTGACATCCATTTATTGAAGGTCTTGAAATGCTCCAGTTAGGCCAGAGAACAAACTTCTCTGCAGCTCAGTGGGCATGACTTACCTGCTCTGCTCCGACAGACTGTGAAAGCCAGGGGGACTGGATGAAGAGAGAAGGAGAAGCTTTGTCTTTACGCATGGGTACAAACACATAGAGAGAGGTAGGAATATACACACATTTTAAGCGAGGCAGAGCTACTTAGCAAAAGCCTATCGGATTATCGAGAGGTTGAGTTTTTCATAAATGAAAAAAAAAGCTTCAATACAAAGGTCGGGATGGAACCCTCCTGTTCCCCAAACTCTTAGCCTAATTACTTGAAGCTTTCAGATTCCCAGAATGTGGCCTAGTTAGAGCATCCCTGGTGAAGAGAGCTGCTTTGTTCTAAGAGTAGCCTGGCAGCTGACTGGCCACATGACCGAAAGCAAGCTACTTAATTTGGAGGTACCTCTGCCTTCCCACGTATAAAACCAAGATGGTAATTACTGATGGCAAAACCACTTTGAAATCTGCAGATGAAAGGACCTGCAGGGTTGAATGCAAAATTTGTTTCCACAGCACCTTTTTCTTTTGTTTGTCATTTCCAGGACCCTCTAGCATAGGGGTTCTTAACCCCTGGGGTCTGTAAGCTTGTTTTTAAAAACATTTTGATAACTGATTTCACTGGAATTAGTTTTCTTTGTAATCCTGTATACTTCATCAGCCTGACTGTCTAAAGGGTACAAACAAGGTTAAGAACCCCTGATCTAACAGGAAAAAGGAAAACAATCAACAAAGGAAGGAAAGAGGCCAGTAAACAAAAGTGCCTCTGCCTCTCCGGCAATCCTTTCCTTTGTGATAAGTGCAATGCTTGTCCATCTGGTACAGAGCTTGGCATCATGCACAGCCGGGTCCACACATTAGCTGGTCCAATGACATTAATTACCACAAAGTGGGATATGGACCGAGGTACTTTTGAAAGTGTGACAGTTTTGCTCTTCTGGCTGTTTGGACGCTTTCTGTTTCCTCTCCCCCCGCCCTCCCCCCCACCCCAGCTTGCTTGTTGAGACCCCATTTTGCATCGGAGGTAGAATAGTGGAATGTGAAGGGTGATCACTGGCCTCAGAGCCAAGGGGCTGCCTTCAAGTCTCTGCTCTGCCACTGGCTAGTTTTGGCCCTAGCCTCAGTTTCCTCATCTGTAAAATGGGGATGAGAATGTACTCCCTACATCACAGAGCTTTGTAAATCATGATATCAAGTATAAGTGATTATTCTTTTACTTTATGAACTACTGAGGCAGCTGAGTGGAGAAGTTAATAGAATTCTGGACTTGGAGTGGGGAAGTCTTGAGTCCAAGTTCTATGTCTGACACATACCGGCTATGGGACCCTGAACAAGTGTGTGCTAAGTCAGTAGTCACTTTCCCTTTCAACCTCAATCTCCTCATCCGTAAAATGAAATGGATTGAACTAGATGGCCTCTGGTGTCCTTTCTATCTCTTTTTGTCATTGTTCAGTCGTTTTTTAGTCATGTCCAACTCTTCATGACCTGATTTGGAATTTTCTTGGCAGAGATACTGGAGCGGTTTGCCATTTCCTTCTCCAGCTCATTTTACAGATGAGGAAACTGAGGCAAACAGGGTTAAGTGACTCGCCCAGGGTCACACAGCTAGTGTCTGAAGCTGGATTTGAACTCAGGTCTTCCTGACTCTCGGACAGTTGATCTACCCACTTCGACACCTAGCTGCCCTTCTGTTTCTAGACCCAAGATCTTAAGTTACTTCCCCTCCGCGGGCTTCAATCTCCTCATCTGTAAAATGGTTGGGTTGGACTGCATGGCCTCCAAGGTCCCTTCCAGCTCTACATCTACAATAACATGAAAACTAGTCATTTATAGATGTTTCCCATCCTAAAAAGTGGCCCAACATGTAATGGCAGGCAGTATGACCTGGGGGAAAGAAGAGCCAGCAAACCAGGCTTGTAATAGTCAGAAGACCTGAATAGGAGTCCTGAGGCTTAGTAACTGTAAGTATGTGTGTGTGTCTAGATGACTCTTAACCTTTAACTGAGAGAACCACTGTCTTGCTCCCCTGACTCCAGGCCTGAATCACCAGCTGCCATCTGGACCCCTCCACCAGCTTGCTCCACAGGGTCTCAATCTCATCACATCCCAAACAAAACTCATTATCTTTGCCTCATCAAAGCCATTCCTTTTCTGAACTTTCTTCTTTCGGGAGAGGGCGCCACCATCCTCCAGGGCACCCCGGCTCCCCACCTGAGTCACCCTTGACTTGGCATGCTCTTTTCCCCCTGCCCCCATAGAACCATGCAGTTCAAAATCTTGCCAGCTCTACCTCCTCAGCATCCCACACACCTGCCTTCTCCTCTCCATTCACACAGCTCATGCCTCATCACCTGGACTGTGGTGAGAGCCTCCTACTGGCTCCAGTCTCTCCCCATTCTAGTCTATCCCTGACAAAGTCATCAAGGTGATCTTTCTAAAGTGGTCTGGCCATGTCACTCCCCTGCCCAAGAAATGTTGGTAGCTGTTACATCTAGGATAAAGCCAAATTCCTCTGGAATTCATAACGTGGCTCGAACCTTTTGTTTCCAGCTTAATTCCACTTGGCTCCCTGTCCATATTTCAGCTAAACTGGCCTGTTTGTGCCCCCTACACAGAATTCCATTTCTTCACCTTTGTGCTAAGGATGCCTGTGCCCTTCCTGGAATGCTCCCCCCTGGCCTCTGCCTCTTGGAAACCCAAGCTTGCCTCATAGCTCAGCGCCATACCACCTCTGCCAAGAGGCCCTCCATGATTCCCCCCGCCCAAGCTGTGAGTGCCCCCCTCCCATCTTTTTGCATCCATCTCATATAGAATGTAAGCTCTTTGAGGGCAGGGACTGTTCCACTTTTGTCTTTGTAGTTGCATCACCCTTCCTGTAGTGCCTGGCACTGAGTAGGCACTTAATAAATGCTTATCCATGTTGTCACTTGATCCAGAACAAGTAATTTTGTGTTTTGGATGGCATTTTCTGGACTCAGCTGTTGTTGTTCAGGTGTTTTTCAGTCTTGTTTGACTTTTCGTGACCTCATTTGGGGTTTTCTTGGCAAAGATATTGGAATGGTTTGCTATTTCCTTCTCCAGCTCATTTTATAGATGAAGAAACTGAGGCAAACAGAGTTAAGTGACTTGCCCAGGGTCACACATTTATTATGTGTCTGAGTCTGGATCTGAACTCATGAAGATGAGTCTTCCTGACTCCAGGCCTGGAGATCTATCTCCTTGGCCACTCAGCTGCACGGATTCATCTGTACAATGGGGGAAATAGTAGTAATGGGTCATTGTGAAAATACTTTCTAAATGTTAGAGCACTATGGAAGTGTTAGTTCTTATTTTTGATGGAACAGGGACAGGTTGGTGGGTGCTGGGCTGAAGTCAGGAAGAGGCAGGTTCAGACCCGTTTCTGGCTTTAGGTCCTTGGATTTGAATTCTGCACATGCCATAGGTGACCTCAGGCGAGGCATGTGGCCCTCTCTGGGCCTCAGTTTCCTCATCTGTCAGATGAGGAGGAGTTAGAGTAGGTGACCTTTAAATCCTATTTTCTTCTCTGAGCTATGATCTGTCAGTATTTGGAATGAAGAGACCTGGATCCACCTCCCAGTGAGGTTAGTTGTAGCTTGGTGGATAGATCAGCCAGATGAGCCAGCAGGTAGAGTGCTATTGTTATTATTAGTAGAAAGCACACTGGGTGTAGAATCAGGACAGAGCAGGGTCTGAACCCTGCCCTCTGATACTCACTAGCTCTATGACCCTGGGCCAGTCATTTGGCCTTCTGGTGTTTCAGGTAAGTCCCCAGGACTTTTCTGCTGAGGCCACCGAGTCAGGGAAGGGAGTGTCCCCTGTGGAGGAGGTAGATTTCTTCTGCCCTTCTGGGATTGTTAGTGGAAAGAGACCCAGACACGCATGACCCCTGTACACGTATTCAGGCCCAGCAGGTATTATCTGCATGGTAGAGATGAGGAAATGAGGCCTGTCCCACCATCACCTAGCCTGGAAGTGTCTGAGGTGGGATATGAACCCAGCTCTCTCCAGTCTCAAGTCTCCCCCCCCCCGCCCCCCCCACCCCCGCCACCTTTCCCTGTCACCATGACATGGGTGGTGGTAAGAGGTTGTGAACTCAGATTTTTGGACTCCAAAATTCTGCCTAATAACTGCCCATAGGACTGAGCCTTTTAATTTTACAGGTGAGTCACCTGAGGCCAGAATGATGTGAGTTGCCCAAGGCCCCCCGCAGTCAGTGGCCGATCTAGACACCACACCTCCACCCTGCTGCTGTCTCTCTGGGCTTCTCTCTCCCAGTGTTGGGGCCCCAGCACAGGGTCCCTACTGTTCTGTAACATAATTGCCATTTTTGTGCAGCGGCCCCCCTCCCCATCTCCTGTTGCCCTTCCCAGAACAAGGCAAACTATATTTATTAAATTGACCATGGGGAATGGGGACCAGGAGCCTGTCCTCCCCAGCCTTCTACATCACCATGATGGAAGTGAAAGTACAGTTGTTGTTGGGGCTGGGGAGGAGGGTTATCTTACCACAGTTTGGATAGAAGGCCGTTAACCCTCCCCCTTTCTGTAAGTAAAACGGGGCTTTGTATGCCCTGAGATAACAGCTTCTTCCAAGTGAAGTCCTATAGGCACGGGCCTTCCTTTGAGACGAAAGCCATAATACAGTGTTTCTCAGTTTGCTGACACTGACATCACAAAACTGGAGTGTTCCCTGGTGACTGAGCTGATAGCAGTCTACTGCCCTTAGAAAACAAAACTGAGAATGACATACAAAGAAAATCCTGTGTCTGTGTTCCCCTAGCCCCCTCCACTCACTGAGATGAGTGTGCATGTGCCTATGCATGTATATGTATATGTGTGCAAGAGCATGCGTGGGCAAGAATGTGCACGTGTGTGTGTGTGGTGTGTGTGTGTGTGTGTGTGTGTGTGTGTGAGCTCAATTCCTCATCCCAAACCAGCTAGGGGCAGGAGGGAAGTTTGGTGTCTTTGTCTACCTCACTGGTCAATAATCAGGGCAACTCCCATTTATACAGCATTCTAAAGATTATGTGGCGTTCGAAACAACCTCTTGAAGCAGCGTGTGCCTCAGAAATAGGGCGGGAGATGGATTTGGAAGACTCGGTTTTGAATTCTAGGTTTGGCTACTTATTACTTACCTGCGTGTGACGTTAGGTGAGTCACTTAATTTTCCGGAGGCTCAGTGTCTCCCCTGTTAGAATACAGTTACCTAGTGATAGGGATTGTTTCATGTATTGTTTTAACATACCTAGTGCCTGGCATACATTAGAAACTTAATCAGCGTGTGTTGCTTGATTGAGGTCCCTTCCAGCTTCGAGTCTAAGACAAGTTTAGATCTATCTTCATTTCACAGATGAAAAAACTGAAGCTCAGAGAGGGGCAATAATAATAACATTTAGATAGTGCCTACTTTCTATATGCTAAGCACTTTACAAATATTATCTCATTTGATTCTACAATTCAACAATTCTAGCAGGTAGGGACTATTATTATTGATAGTTTACAATGGAAGAAACTGAGGCAAGCAGATATTAAGTGACTTGCCCAAGGTCAGACAACTAAGTGTCTAAGGTGGGATTTGAACTCAGGTCTTCCTACTCCGCACCACCTAGCTGTGGTAGAGTGCCTTGTTCATGGTCACAGAACTAGTAAGTGTCGGGAGCCTCGATTTTAACTGAAGGAATCCCGGGTATAACACACCTGATGAGTGAGTGAATGGTCATCAGTGCTTGGAGACCTCCAAGGAGGGGGGACCCAGGGCTTCCTGAAGTCACCTGTCCCATTTTGGCAAAGGCCTCATTGTGGGACCGTCTAACTCGAAGCTTTTCGTTGGAATTTTTCCTCAGGCTACACCTAAACTGGCCATTTTGTTAGAGCAATAACTCAAATTTTCACAGCTCTTTAAGGCTAACAAAGGGGTTCCATCACAACAACCTTGTTCCGGAGCTAGTGCACGTGTGATTGATTATGCCCATTTTGCTGATAGGAAACTGAGGCTCAAAAAAGGTTGAGTTTCAGGACTTGGCCTTTTCTGATTCCAAGTCCAGCGCTCTGGACCGCTAAAGCTGAAAGTAGTCTTAGCAAGCATCTTCTCTGACCATTTTATAGATGAAGAATACCAGGCTCAGAGGGGACGAGTAGCCCGCTCAAGGGCAGCCATGAGTGCTGCTTTTGGAGTGAGAAACTCTGAATTTGAATCATCTGTAAAGTGGATTAGATGGCCAGGAAGGTCCTATTGAATTCCATTCAATAATCACTTACTGTGTGCAGTCTCTGCTCAGCAAAAGGGTGTGCACAAAGTTCAAAATAACACTCATAAATCACATTTCTTAACGTCGTTAAGAAACCTACCTGGGCAAAGACAAAAAAAAAAGAAAAGAAAAGAAAGAAAAATAAGTAGTCCCTGGTTTTGAGGAGCTGACACTTTGCTGGGGGAAGATAACCTATACCTATATGTTATTTCGTGTGGAAGGCTCTGGCAGCTGCTGGGGGGAGGGGGCAGGAATCCAAGAAGAAGGCTTTGAATGGAAGGAGGCATTTGAACTGAATCAGGAAGGAAATTAGGGATCTTAATTAGACGGAGAATGAGTGTAGTAGCGTATTGAGCGTGCAAGAGGAGTGACTTGCCCAGGGTCATACAGCTAGTAAGTGTCATGTGTCTGAGGCTGGATTTAGAATACAGTTTTAAAAGGGAGGTTGGAACCAGGTTGTGAAGGGTTTTCATTGTCAAACAGAAGAATTCGTATTTGGCTCTAGAGGGAATTCGGAGCTGCTGGAGTTCGCTGAGTAGGGCAGGGAGCGTGCGGAGAGCCGCACTGGAGGAAATCGCTTTGGCGGCTGTGTGTGCTGCAGCGAGACCGGAGTGGAAAGACTTGGACCAAGCAGAAGACAGATGCAAGTAGTCCAGGTGAGAGGCACTGACGACCTGGAGAGGGGAGGGGGCCGCGTGAATGGAGAGAAGGCCGGCTGGAAACGTACAAATGACGAAACTCGGCTCGGTTGGACCACGTGGAGGCTTGGAGCCCAGGTGGCTGCATGATAGGGGTAGCCCTGACGGTCACGGGAGAGTTCCGAAAGGCAGAGGCGGGTTTTGGGGGACGGGGGGGGGATCATAAGTACTGTCTGGGGCGTGCTTGTTGAATTTGAGCTGCCTAGGGGACGCCGCACAGTCTCCCCGACGTTAGTCCGGGGGTTGTGGGATGGGCTGGAAGGTGACCTCGAGGAGCGCTCCGGCCCGGCCGGGAAGGAAATCCTGGCAGGGTTTTCCATTGCGCTAGGCTGCGGGGCCGGGAGTGAAAGGCAGGGGACGAGCGGTAGGCCGGCCTGGGCGGAGTCCGGCTCCGGTTCGGGCCGAGTCTGCGGAGGCTGTGGCAGCGAAGGTTCCGCACCGGGTTTTCGGGACGGCCCGGGGCCGAGGGGCGGGGGAGCGGGGAGTGCGGGGGTGTGCACGCGCGCGCGCTTCAGAGTGAGGGCGGGAGAGGCAGGGTGTGAGGGCGGGGGCGGGGCCGGGCCGGGCGGGGCGGGGCTACCGGAGGGAAGTTGCTGAAGTTGGGTGAGCCGCCCGGGCCTCGCCGCCGCCTTCTACTCCTCTTCCTTCTCTTTCTCCTCCGCTTCCCCGAGCGTGTCCGCGCCCGCCTCCGTCCTCGCCGCGGCCGCTCGCCGTGCATGATGGAAACACCATGGCTTCGGCGGCCCAGCTCTCCCTGACCCAGGTAATAAGGCGGGCTGCCCGGGCGCGCCCCCGCCCCGCCCGGCCGCCCCCGCCTCGTGCCCGCGCCCGCGTCCCCCCTCTACCCCCCCTCGGCCCAACCGTCGGGTCCCGAGCCGAGCCGAGCGCGCCCGAGCCGTCCCGTCCCGACTTGACCCGAGCGCCCTCGGCCGAGTTCAACTGTCCCGCCCCGAGCCCCACCCGCCCCGGAGCGAGTGCGGCTCGGCCTCCCGCGGGGACCCCGGCATCCGGGGCTGCTCCTGGGGCTCGTGGGACCGACCGGTGCCTGCCCCCGAGTCATTCATTCGGGCCGCGAGGGGACTCGGGGGCTAGCCCAACCCCTTCTCTTTGCGGAGGGGAAACTGAGGCAGGGGAAGGACAGATGTCTGCCAAGGACACCCTCTTCCCCCGTAGAGTCATGTAGGGTGCGAGGGGACTGGGGAGCTACTCCAGTCCCTTCCCATTACAGAGGGGAAACCGAGGCGGGGGAGGGACTTAAGTGTTGCTCCTCCATCTTCCCATGGCAGCACCCCTACATACTGAACCCCGCTTCATCGTAAGGTCATGGATAGAGGTCATAGAGCTGGAACGGGGCGTCCCAGCAATCCCCCCACCCCACGACACAGCTCCTTGAGGGCAGAGACCGTGTCTGGTTTGTCTCGGGTCCCCGGGCTTAACACAGTGCCTGGAGCCGCCCTAATAAGCACCCGGCGCACCGTAGGCACTTAATAAATGCTGCTTGATGGATTTCATCCAGAGCTGGTCCAGCCCTCTGATTTTACAGATGAGGAAACTGAGCCGCAGCCAGTAGGATGTACCCACGGCTCCCTGCCAGCATCTCCCCCAACTTTTGTTGTTTTATTTTATTTGGCCTTCCCCACTTCTGAACTCCCCATCTCGGAGCAGTCAGAGCCACCTCAAGTTCATTCCTCTGTAAAATGTGAGCTTCCAGTTCGGAATCCTCAGTCTCCCTGTGCTGGGGGACAGGGCTTCTAACCCAGAGGAGAGTTCTTTTCACCCAGCCTCCATTGCCTTACCCCCCAGAATCGGTTCCTTCAACTGGCTTTCATGCCCCCACCCTCAGGTCTCTTCCTTTCAGTGTCCAGCCCCGAGAAGGCCCTTAGTCAGTGCTTGTGGCTTGCCTGCCTACCACTGCCCGGGCCCTGCCCAGCCCCCCACTCTGGATTCCTCCCATCCTTCTATAAAGGGAGGTGATTCAGGTGCCTCCTTCTCAACTTGGAGACTTCTCACCTGGTCCTCTCCGGAGTCATGCAGGGCTTTGCCTTCAGCTCAAGTGCTGAAGTGACGGTCACTGAGTGTGGGATTTGTTGGTGCAGAGATGTAGGTAGGCCCTGTGGCTGGGTGGATGAGGGGTGTTATTTGTAACTACCTGTCAGGAGATAGGAGTGCCCTTGTCATGAGCCAGGCCGTCTCCCTCTCAGAACTAATAGGTTACTGAAGAAGGGCTTGTGCAAGGAGCCCTCCTGGGCTGGGGGCAGACCCGCGTCTCTTGACTGGCTAAGACTGGCTGCAGGTTGAATGTGTTTGGGTAGTTTGTGAGGTATTAGAAATCATCCTCCTTGGGGCCTTTTCAGGTTGCAAGGTCTGGGTTCATAAATGTCTCTTGAAGTTGAAGGGCCAAGTCAGCTGTAGCCTTTAGCTCGTTCTTTAAAAAATGAAGTCAGTGCCTTGAATGTTCATATAATTAGAGTGTTGCTGGCAGGGTTGAAGCTTTTATTTTCCAGTGGTCATTTTGAAAAGTTGTGCTCAGAGTGAGATAGTAATGATTTTTGTGTTTGTTGGCTACTTCTGCATTCTGAGCACATCCACACTCAATTTCTGCAGTTTTATAGGCCATCATAGGCCATAAAAATGCTGTCTGTGACAGACTTGGGAATCAGGTGCTGCCTGCTGGGTCCTCTTCACGCTCTCCCTTGGGACCCAGCTGCAGGTCTACCTCAGTCTGCTTGAAGAGGAAGATGGTGCTCTCATCACCAGCAGCTTTTTATGCCATCTGTTAAGTCTTGAAGGGACATTGGGCTGTGGAGGAAGAGACCATCTACCCTAAGAAACACCAGTCCTCTGAAAGACTAGAATGAACACTTCAGTTGTAAGGCATTTTTTTCTTAAGATCAGGACATAGGATCAGAGAGCAGGGAAGGACATAGCAGATGTTCTCTTGTGCATCTTCAAGGCCTATGGAGGTTAAATGACTCGTCCATGGACTCTTGGCTAGGAAGTGGCAGAGTCAGGATTTGAATCCAGGTCCTTGGACTCCAAACTGGGTACTCTCTGTCACTTCCAGGGCCGCCTTTTAGGCTGCCTGGCTTGTGCTTGATTTCACTTTGGAGAGCAGGTACTTTGTTGGATCTTCCTGCTGGAGCTGGAGCCGGAGCTAATTTTAGGTTTGGATTCTGAGATGTCCAGAGAGGAGTCAGCAGACAAAACGCGTGTTCGTAGACTGTGGCGATGCCCTCGGGATGATCTCTAGCATCGTGTGACTGTGTGCTGCCTGGAGAGTTTAAAAGGTTTTTTGATCCGTGAGGTACAGAAACCGTAGGGCAGGGATGAAGTTGTGCCTTCGTCTTTTCTCTCTCAGTGTCCTGCAGAGTGGCATTGAATATACCCATAACACGTTTCTGCAGTCTCTGGTTTATAAGGTCTCAGTGTGAATTAGTCACTAGTCAGAGAAGATGTTTTTGAAGAGTCTTACCTGGCTTCTAACTTTCTGTTTTGGTAGATAAAGTGATATTAAGGGGAAAACCCCCACATTGCTTTATGAAAAAGGATTCAGTTCAAGGGTTCTTTTTCTTGTCGTTTGCCTTCCTTCTCTTCTAGTCCTAGGAGGGGAAACAGGAGAGACCGATGGGTGACCAGGCAGTGCGGTGGGGTGGAGCAGGAGCCTTGGGCAGACTCTGGGGTCCCCAGGGTTCTCATCCTGGGGCTGTCATTCACTTGACTTTGTCTGGAGCTGAGCTAGCTAACCCTTCTGCAGCTCAGCTACCTTGGGGGTAGTATAATGAGGGGGTTAAGACCAGAGAGCTTCTCCCTGTCAGCTCTGCCATTCAATGATTTGGTTCTGACTCAAGAGCTTCCCAGTCTAGACGCCTTGGAAGAACCCTAACGTCAGGAGATTCCAAGTCCAGCACTTACCAGCCTGGGTTCATACACACTTGGGCAAGACATTTGCCTTCTCTTAACTTTAGTCTCCCCATCTGGAAAATGGGAATAGTAATAATGCCTGCATTGTCAAACTCATCAAGTGGTTTCGGAAGTCTCTTGTAAACCGAGATGATTTGTTTCCTTCTGGTCATCTCTGAGCCAATCGAAACTCCATTCCACGATTAATAGTACGCTTGTAGAAATGTGCTAGGCACACACTAGCCCAGAGGACTGACGTGGAACAGCCCCTGCCTGCCAGCTGTGGGGTGGGGCAGATGACAGTGCACATAGGGGCATTCTCCAGGAATACAGAGCCGGTCCTAGGGGGATTGCTGTTTGTCCTTTGTTCTAAAAGAGGCCTGTGACAGCATGGAGGTGATGCCATGACACGTAAGTGGAAAGGGCTGTGCAAAGACGCCAGCCTCACTTTCATCTCCAGGCCATGTGGGCCCAGTGGTGGGGAATAGTACCGAGAGCTGAGGGATCAGGGAAGCCCCCTGGGGGTGAAGATCCGGGGTCACCCCAGCTGCATGGTAGGAGTTCTGTTCAGAGGGCAGAGGCTGGGTGCCATTAAACATTCCTGGTCTGTGTACACCCCAGGCGCTGCAATGAGGAGAGTCAGGATGGTCTGGTAGACTCCCCATTTGGCTCCACGTGTCTTCCCAATGTTATGGCCATTCATGCCATCTCCCATTCACGTAGGGTTTTGAGGGTGGGGAGAGTCATCCTAACTTGGCTGCCTGCTGGACCCCAAGTGAGGAAGGCAGGCTGTCCATCTCCCAGGCTGCTGCCAATGCCTGGAAGCTCTCCCTCCTCACGTTTACCTTCTGGAGCCCCCAGGCCCCTGCCAGGCTCACATCAGCTGCAGCCACTGACAACCTGAGCCCATCCTTGAGGCAGTGAGGTAGCTGTGAACTCAGACCTTTACTGGTCGTGAGACCCTGGGCAAGTCACCTCTGACAGCCTCAGTTTCTTCTTCTGTAAAATGGGAATACAAATAGCACCCACCTCCCAGGATGGTTGGAAGGATTGAATGAGAAAACATGTACGGCGTTTTGCAGATTGTAAAGTGCCGTGTGAATATGATGATTATGTTGTTTCCCTCCCTCTCAGCCATAAGTGCTCTTCATCCCAGCCCCATTCTCTGAAGTTACTTTGTATCTACCGTTTATCTCATGTGTACTTTTCTGTTTCTCTTTTGCCCTCCTTCCCTTTTCTCCCACTCAGAGGTAGGGACTCATTCTTTTTTTTTTATCTTTGTAAGCCCCTTCACGTTATACTCAATAAATCAGGTGTCCCAGCAGGCTCCATGACAGTTGGTCCAGCGGATGCCCTGAGAGCTAGGAGGGTTTGGGCTTCATTAGGCGCCTCCTCCACACCTGCAGACAGGCTGACTGCAGCTGGCCAAGGTCACCTCGGCTCAGTAAATTACAGAGTCTTGCTTGGATCCTGGACTTTGGATGCCAGGGAAAAGGGTGGAGTAATAATAATAATGACAAAAAGAACAGAAGCAATTACATAGAGCTTTCATGTTGTAAAACACTCTGAAGTTACAGCCATCCTGGGAGGCACGTCTGGTTAACATCTCCATTTTACCGAGGAGGCAGAGAGGTGAAGTGACTTGCCTAGGGTCACACAGCTCCAGGGAGCAGCTGAGGTAGTCTTGAGTCTTCCTGATGCCAAGTCCCACGCTCTCCCAGGCCACTTAGCTGCCTACCTGATGGCTCAGATAAAGACCAAGAGTTCTCTTGCCTCCTTGGGGCATGTTTTGAAGACATAATGGAGAACTTCCCAAGGCTTATCAGAACAGGCAACTACTACCCACAAATGCCTCGATTATCA